GAAACTTTCAAAGCTAGCAATGGTTGGTTAATGTGTTTTCGAGATCGTCATGGAATAACTTTCCAAGAAGTTCACGGAGAGAAAAAGTCAGCCCCGATAAACGACGCAAATGAATGGCGGCAAAACAAGATGAAAGAAATCTTAGAAAAGTATGCTCCAGAAGACATTTATAATGCAGATGAAGCTGGGCTGTTTTTCGAACTCCTACCCGATCGAACATTGGCATTCAAGGGTGAAAAGTGTTATGGAGGGAAGAAATCAAAGCAGAGACTGACTGTTCTTCTGTGTACAAATAGCACAGGAATGCATAGAATACAACCTCTCGTCATTGGTAAATCATTGAAGCCAAGGGGATTTAAGAACTTGAAAAGTCTTCCCGTGGAGTATAAAGCAAATAAGAAGGCTTGGATGACGTCTAAATTTTTTTCCGAATGGTTACAGAAGTTAGACAATGAAATGAAGAAGAGAAAGAAAAAAATCGTTTTGTTGATAGATAACTGCGGTGCTCACACATCATTTCCAAAGCTACAAAATATCGAAATTGCTTTTTTCCCTGCCAATTGCACTTCAATTTTACAGCCTCTTGATATGGGCATAATTAAGTGCTTCAAAGGATATTACAGAAAACGGTTGGTACAAGCGGTAAAAAGTTTGGAATTAGTATAGAAGACTATTTAACAGCAGATGATGATCTTATGGTTTTCGCAGGAGTTACTGATGAAGATATTCTCTCTGAAATTACTGATGAGATAGGAAACAATAATGAAGATGATGATGATATTGATGATGATGATAATACAGGTCCATCGCAGTCCTTATTGTCATCCCAGGAAGCTCTTCAATCTGTGAATTCTCTATGGACATTTTTTTCAAGCCTTCCGTAGATAAATGAAGAACATTTTCGTGCACTGGACTCAATGCATACAGTATTGGTGAACTTAACAGTTAAAAAAAATCAATAAACAAACAAAAATATTGGATTATTTTCAATAAAAATAAAAAGTGTTTTCAGTCAGGTATGTGTGAATATGTCTGTGTTTATTTTCTGAATTTATCTTATTTATTTATTTTTTTAGTATATAAACCACTATTATTAGTATTTTACAAATTAATTTCTTCTAAATATAGACTTAAAAGTAGTATGTTATGCACCTTAAACTAATAATAATAATAAAAAAAAAAAAAACTCTTATTAAATGCTCAAAATATGTGGGCCCTCGATATAACAATATGACAACAATATATTTATTTGGTCCCTAAAATATTGTTGTAATGAGGTTTCACTGTAATTGGACAAGTCCCAATGGGTCAAAGAGTCGAGTGATGGTTGAAAGGATTTCACGTTTTGTAAAATTATTGGACAACTGTTCAGATACTTTAAAATTAAAACAATCTGATGAAGGTTACACTAATCTTAACTGATGAGAATATGTATTCGGTTTTACTGTCATTTAACAACTCTGGATTATTCAAAACCCATTTATGTAGCTCCTGCAGCTAAGAGTTTTTTTAACTCAATCTGCAAGTTCTTTGCTTTTTCTAAGCAATTAGATCCAGATAAAATGTCATCAACATATTGATGTTGGTTAGTACTTTCGATGCCTGAGGAAATTTCCCTCGTTCATTTTCTTGATGTCTGCACTAAATGCATACCTATGAGTGTGAAATATGGCTACCGTAGAAAATAACTCTTGTTGTAGAGTTCCTCTATTTAACAATATAGAATTGAGTGAAACCACATTACTTGTTTTAGAAGACGCATCGAAGACAACGTGGAGGGGGGTTGTTGTACTCTCAGGACAAAAAAAGGGCATGGTTGGGGGATATAATATTATTCTATATTAGAACACTCATCATCTCTTTCCATGTGATCAAGGGACAGATATTCATCCATAAATGCCATACATAATGTTGCCATGGTTTTATTTTTATCTAATTTTTTTCAAAGTAAGTTTGATCGCCTTTCTGCTATTTCCTTTGACGCTCCCAACGTTGGTAGTTCATCTTCAATTACTGGTAACCTTACAATATATCTTCCATTTTCAAATCTCTTGTGTGTAAAAATGAAACTTTCTCACAGTATTGCTTTTCAAAGGTTTTGTCACTTACATTTTTAGCGTGATCACCAGGAAAGGATTCTAACTTGAAGAATTGTTTGACAGACTTATCTAAATTATCATCTTCTGAAATTAACCCAGAAAAATTATAAGAATTTGAATTTTATATCGAACCTGTTATTAAATAATCAAACACACTATTTTGTAACAACAGGGAACCATCAAAGGACCTGAATCTTTCTGCTTTTAACAATTCAAAAAATAATTCACATTCCAATAATACATGAATTTTGCTAGGTATATGAAAGGTAGGATCTGCTAGTTTAGTTTCCTTTGGGAAATCTATTTTAGAAATATCAATTTTATTTGTAGGTGTAAGTCCCGTAATATGAGGTAAAATCAAAAAGGATAAAGTCCTACGCCAATCACCATCTTCATTTGAGATTTTTGCAGTTGTTTTGTTTTTCACAAAATATTCATGTCCGCTTATTCCCATTATGGTTGTATTTATTTTTTGCTTATTCAGTTCCAGAGCATCAGCGGCTTCAGTTTTTAATACATTGCAGCTGCTTCCGGAGTCCAATATTCCTTTTAATTTTACTTTTTTCCAACATGTGGTTTCAATAAATAATGATACTGTACACAGCAATCCAGTTTGTTCGTTTATCTTTGTTGGTTAATATGGCACCTAACACTTCTGCAGACTGCTGTGCCATTGAGGTAGATTCGGAATCTAATCTTTTCTTCTCGGTGCCGATTGCTTATTAGGAACAATCTGAGAAACTTCTGGTTTTGAATCAACATGAATTAAACTATTTTGATCGGAATGTTTACAGATTCTACTTGTGAAGTTTGACTTTTAAAACTTTATGCATTTTAAAATATATCTTGCATAACTTCGATTCTTGAATTATTTGATTACGTTTTGAGACACTCGTATTAAGGAATTTAGAAGATTTGTGTAAAGAATGTTCGACGTTCCAGAGGATACAGGGTTTCATAATTTTTCTGGATGCACTTACAATTAAACTCTTAGGTTTTATATTCCCTTGATCTGAAATAATATTTTTATGCAGTAATGGTTTCTGATTAGTATTGTTATACAAACTTTCTAATACTAATGTTCTTTTTCCAGAAGACTTAAGAATTCTTCTAAAGTGGGTACTTCTTTTCTTTTGTTTTTAATGTCAACTCGATTTGTTTATGCATTTCCTTATTGATTTTTCGAAGTAGTATATTCATTAATATAGCATCAAATAAGTTACTTTGTTCAAATTCCAAAACCTTTAACGTGCACAAATTACGTTTTATATTATCCAATAAATAGCGTAATTCCCTGGGAGATTCATTGTCAATTTTTTCATGATTTAATATATTTTGCATGTGAGAATCAGCAATTGCTCTTTTATTTTCAAAACGAGCTTTAAGAAGTGAATTATAACTGTCTCGATCTGTTTCTGTTTGTTTTGCTTCTCCTCGTAGGGCAGCCCTTAAATAATGCAGCTTTTGTAAATCGCTTAGTTTATTATTATCGCCAGTTAAAGAAATAAACTACTGTTTAGCTACTAAAATCTTCATAATTTCCCATAAATATTGCCAGTGGAATTCACAGGTAATTTTACATTACAGAAAGTGTTACTTTGATTGTGAACTGTTATACCACCATCTTTAACTTTTAAAACATTATTTAATTTAATCGTTGAAAGAAGGTATTTAATTCTTACCTTCACGTTATCCAGTGATGAGTCCAGCTCTTCCATACTTTTTAAGCTTTCATCAATATCTAGCTTTTCATCAATGCTGCAGTAGTCGTTGGAAAGGTGAGTCATGCCAACTTTTAGTTCCTTGACATTCTGTAATTTTACTTCTAATTCAACTGAACTTCCTTCAGATTTCTTGAAGTTATTCACGAACTTCTCGAGTTTTGTAATTTTGCTTTTTATCACGCCTCTTTGGCGATTTTAGTTGTGCTAATTTATCCGTTGTATTTTTGCCGCTTTGAATAGGCACTGATCTCCGGCTTAACGGACCACTTTTTTATGAACTGTATTCCGCTAATGAATTTTTCTTTCCTAATTATATACAAAAAATAAATAAAATCAAAAAAAGGCCACTAGGGCTGTGGTGCGTAGGTGTAACTAATGACGTAACAAGGGGTGTAGCAGTTTTGTATGCCAGAGGTGGAGTAACTTGGTATTAGGAAAGTGGTGTTTGATTACTGTATGCACATTTCAGTTTATAGTGTAGACATTAAGCTAAAATTGAATTGAACAATATCAAATGATTTTATCATTTATGTGATAAGACTTACAAAATAATGACTGTAATGTTTAACAAAAATAAAATGGCAGTTGTAGACAGAATTCTAAACAGATTTAAAAATATATTTAATTCATTCATTAATTTTACTTCTATGACGGTTAGATGAAGTGGACGTAATGTCCTGTTTTGTAGCAGGAAAATCTCCCCACATTTCTAGAATTCTAAATATTTATTGTTGAGTTTGTATATAGAGAAAAATAAATGTTCTTTTGTTAGTGCGATAATAAACTGAAAAATTATATGGACTGGTCTGTCATTATTAATTACTATCTGCAGCTTTACAAGTGGTCATAATGTTATGACTATGTAATGTATTTATATTAATATATTTTGGTGGAAAATATGTTGATGGAAGCTTTATTAATATTTCAAATGTGTTATATGACATCTTACTAATTTTCACATTGTATAGATCTCTGATAGTGAGATTTGTAACTCAAGATATAGATAATTGTGCTTTGTGTTAACAAAGTGCGAATGAAGCATTTATATTATGCTCAAGTTGGTTTTGTTATTTTAATGCAAATTGTATTTTTTCCCTCCCTCAGATTTTGTGAAAAGCATGACACATAATTCTACAATAAGCTAAAATTAAATTTTCTTTCTATTACATGTTTATAGCTAAATTGCCTGAGATAATGTCACCTTTAGAATTGAGAATAGAAGAACTGCGGCACAGACTAAAAGTAGAATGTGCTGTTGTAGAAGGGGCAAAAAATGTTATCCGTCTTTTACAGAGCTCAAAATTAACAGATAGGAAAGCCTTACAGGAGGTATTTTTTTTTTTTTTTACATTTATTTTTTATTTAGTATTTGTGTACATATTTTTGATTATGTAAATTATTTATTGAAAATTTTGGGTACTTTTCATGAGCTAGATTTGGTCATTTTTCAGGCTCAAATGAATCTATCTGAATCTAGCCAAAAATTAGATCTTATACGGCGATCCATGGAAATTAGAAAACTTGAACTTCCACCGGAGTCTCCTAAGTTGGAAATTCTGAAAAATGAATTGGAAAGCAGTCAAGCAACAAGTCCGGTGTTGTACCCGTCCACAATTCATCCTCATGGAACAAGAGAAACTCCTATACCTTCTTGTAGTACTTCCTTATCAAAACCTGCTACTGTGACTGGCAAGCTAGAAGTCAGGTGTGTTAGGAAAAAATATAATAATACCTTTAAATTAGGACTTCTTCCATTCAAGTGACTTAATTTATATTTTTATTCTCATTTTATTATATTGTTATTAATTGTTAAAAATGGCTTATCTAATCTTCTAATTTTTCACATGTTGAATACATTATGTTAATGCAACAGTAATATTCCTAACAATTTTGAAACTGCCAATTTTGAAATGCAAGATCATTAATCTGTTAGCGGTTATCAAAATCTTCAGGCTTTGCTCATGGCAGCAGTAAATGAAAATAGCTTCTACTTTTCCTGTTGCTACTTTCATAAATGAGATTCATTTTTCGGTGACACTGAAATATTGGTGGATTTTTTTAATGAGATCTACATACTTCATTTTTAAGCATGCTTTTCTTTCATTGGAGCTAGAAAGAATGTGGTAGTTTTATTAACAGCAGTAGAAACTGTTGCTTAAATCATCGTCTGTATTTGGCTTACTAGCAGCAGAGTAGTAAATTCATTGAATAGTAGTTGTTTGACTTGACCATTTAAAGGTGCAAATTCTGGTGAATAAGCTGGCTGCATGGGAATTTTCATGATTTTCCACAGCAAAGCCAGTGTTTTTTATTTGCAGCCACAAAATCATCCTCAAAATAAGGGAAGTGAAAAAAAAAATGGATGTGGTCTTAAATGCACCTTCGATTGTCCGAGTGCTTATCAGAGGTTGATTGCTAGTTTCCAAGTTGTATGTTTGAACCCTGCACAAACAGCAGTTATTTCTGTGTCTTCTGTCTTCTCAGTGTAATAATGGTCACCTCCTTTTGATGCATCTTGGGCAACAGTTTTGGGTGACTAAATGATTGACATATTTGGCCCTTCATAATGAATGAATTAAATTGGAAATGGATAGCCATTTAGTGGAGAAAAAAATAGTAGCTTGTTTTATTATTGAGGAGTGCCTGTAATGCCATATATATTCACTAAATTCAGTTAGTTTTTGTGAATTAGTATTCAGATGTTGTTTGGAAATCAGTGAATCATTTTTAAGAATGAGGCCAGTTTAACTTGCATATATGTTTGTGTCCCATTAAGCAGAAAATGCTTAATTGAGCTGAGCTCATTTATGACTTATACCTCAAATGCGAACAAAGCTTGTTCATGAGTTAAAAAGTTAAATCTTCCTTGCCATACTTTCAGTTTTCATAATTATTATCAAGATTGTGAAAGATCCTTAATATATCTTTCAGTTTATAAAAGTGAATTGAAAGTTAAATGATTAAAAAGCAGTATAATGCTTCTTAAGAATTTTCCCATTTTTTTAATAATATATTACTGATGTAATTTATGGTGTATATAATTGTGGATATTCATAAGCATTTGCATCATAAATGCAACAATATATATATATAATGCCAGACATTATGTACTAGCTAGAAATTCATAATATTTGGCATAAGAAATCCTTTTTTAAAAAAAATCCAAATCTATGCTAGAGAATGAATGTTGCATTTTGGGTTACAACAAGTTAGGTAATGTTAAAATTATTTAAATAATTGAATTATTAAATGTCTTATAATGCATAACATTGTAAAAAGCACTGTGAATAATGCTTAAAATTAGTGCATTGCTTAATCAGATTCCAAACTAATATTCAATTACGTTTAAAGTGATAAATTTGAATTTATTGGGCCCTTTAAAAAATTTAAATATAACAATCTGTAATTTTTTATTTTTTACTGCAGCTAATCAGATTGATATGTAATAAGGTTCGAATGTATTTAATACTGTGATTATTGGTAATTATTATACACCTATTTCTACTTAGCCTTTTTTTGGGACAAAACAGAAATTTGTTTTTAATGATTTTGCTGTTATTTAAATTTCTTTATGTACAGTATATCTAGAAAGCCCCTTAGTGCTGTCAATAAGCCTTTATATTTTATTGTAATGAAATGAGCCTTCATAGTTTAATGTAATGAGTTAACTTGAGTAGTTGTTCTAGAGGTCTGCATTTACTTCCATATGTAGATATTTTACATCTTTATTTCCTTTTTAAGTTATTTCCAATATTTAGATATAGAATATATAGATAAGTTTGTCATATACTGTGCCTTTTTTACCATTCTTATGCTTCATATTTCATTTTTGCATTCATGTTACGTTATGTCTTAGGTAGTAAAGTATAAATATGTGTAAAATAATTACATCATTTACTGTGATAAAATAAGTAAATTCTATTTAAATACTTTAAAATTGTAGACAATGTAGATGTAAGTATATTATCTATCTAGTTGTAGATAATATAGATGTATGTATTAGAGACTTCTCAGATGCAGTCTGTATGTATTAAGTTTTTAAAACATGTATGATTAAAAAATTGAATATATATAAATATAGTTCTCATAGCTTTATATATATATATAGTTCTTGTAACTTTAAAAGTTTGACTGTAGTGTTTTTAAACCTTAAGGTTTTATATTTAAATTTTAGACTTATGGGTTGTCAAGATTTACTAGAAGATGTTCCTGGTCGTTTACCTCGCAGAGAACAAGGCCCTCATATATCTAGCCCTGCTGATTTACGTAGTTTTGTACGGGCTACTGGAAAGGGACTGACTGGAAGAGGCTCATCTAAGTCATATAGCATTAAAGAGGAAACATCTAGTATGTATAACATTTTATATGTCTTCTAAAATGTATGAAATGTATGACTGACATATGAAACCTAAGGAAACGTAGGTTTTAGCCACCAAAACATTGTCAACAATCTGTTGGAATTTTTTGTCAAAAAAATATATTTTCTGCATTAATGGTTTAATTTAATTTTTTTTTTTTTTTTTTTTAAATTCCATGTGTGGTAATCACTTTCGAAATTGCATCAGTAAAATGTTATCTTCTGCAAGTTATTTCTAAATACATGTGAACTCTGCTAAATAAAAAGGCAAGTGAAGAAGGAATTCCTATTTATTAGAATCATATACAGTCAAAAGTCGTTAATTCGGATACCCATAATCCGGACCTCAAAGCTACAAACTTTCTGCGCATGCGTCGCATTGACGTATGCGCGTAAGATCTTTACAGCTGCGAATATGCGAGTACGCATGCGCGTTCAATATATAACGGACGGTATAAGCTAAGCTAAAATTATCTAATTCAGTTAGTGTTGCAGATTACGTTGTTCTTTAACCTTTGAATTGAATCCGGCTTATTATTTTTTGCAGACTGTTAGAGCAATTTATAAAAGTAAGCTTGGACTTTCGATTATGTCAAATAGAATTTCCGATATATATTTACTAATATGTAAAGGATCTACAAAGTGAAAGTATGTTTTGAAGTCTATTAAACCAAAAGTGGAATCGCTGTAAAAAATGGATAAAGGCATATCTTTTGTTTTTCTAACCATTCCGAAATCTGTTTATCAATTTACGCTGTTTTACGGAGGAGGGGAACGTAGCGGCACGCAATGAACTGGAAGTTGATCTGTCAGCACTATCCATATCTTCAGGGCAGATGTTTTTATTTTATTCGGCTTATAGTTCATTACTAAATGTAGTATTTCATCTCGATGTACTATGTCCTTTATATTATTTAAATCAAATTCATTATAAATATCACGAATACACATCAAATAGTTTTCTGGTTGCAATTTTCTAATTTCGACTATGCGTAATGTATGCTTTATGCATGTGCGCGTTGAAAGAAATGTTTAATAAAGTAAACAAATAAATATTAAGCCTTTTTTTTTTTTTTTTTTTTTGTAAATTTTGATACCCTTTAGATCATAATTGTTCTTTATTTCATAAATTATGGTTTCATATTTTTAATTTTATAATTTCTGCATGCCATCTTACCAGATTTAAACTAATGATCTATAATCCGGAATCGCCGAAGTCCCGATGAGTCTGGATTAACGACTTTTGACTGTATTATGTGTTCTTTATTTTAATACTTTTTCGACAAGTGTTAATTATTGCATTTGCATTGTATATATGCTGTCATATTCAGTTTCTGTACATGAAAATTGGATCATTATTTAATATTTTTTCAAAATACCACATACTCATAAAGAATACTTTATTTCTGTGCGAATCTAATATATGCATGATGAAAATGCAATAAAAATCAATATGAAATATTTTGAGAACTTATCAGGAGAAAAAGGTTAACAAAAATTGTTGCATTGTTTGTACTTCTTCTAATTATTCAAAATTTGATGTTTAAACATAGAAGAAGCTATCCTCGCTTTCCCTTAGTTAGAGGATAAATAAGTGAATAATAATAATAATAAAAGTAATCTTTCTTTAAAATAAATAAATAAGAAAAAAAAAAAAAAAAAAAGCTTTCCTGAAGAACCCAGAACAGCTTTCAGGATTGTTACTATGCTGCAAGAAAGGAATCTTTAATGATATTACTGGCAGTGTATCATTGGGTACCAGCTAATACCTGAATATGGAATTGCATGTTGTTTTTATAAAATGTAAAAAGGTGCATGTTGTAAAAAGGTGCATAATAAAAATCAAATCTTGGAAATGCTGTCTTATGTGTATTTTATTAAATTTATGACTCGATCAGAGTGCCTTTATGATAGTCATACAGTTCTGGGCCAGTTTGTAATTAAACATGGTCTTCTTTATCAATAATAAAAGTCAGAAGTCATACTCTTTCATTTCATGCAAATGCTGCATCTTTTATATGAGATGTGCATGAATTTAAAAATGTCACTGAAAGAAAGGTGCTGTTTTCCTACTATGAAGAGAAGAGAGAGTAATTACTTATCTGGGAATTCAAGTAAAGGCTCAATCATCTTGAAAATTTCACTGAAACTATTTAAATGTTTATTTACAACAGTTTTTATTTGGACTGAAAACTGAATGGTCATAAATGTAATTATGTCATAATATTTTTCACAAATCTTGATGTGTAGGTAGGTAATGGAGACCTAGAATTGTCCTAGGCTAACGCACATACCATTCAAGAGAAACTATGAAACGAATTGTTACCTCTTGGTAAAAGATTTAAAAAAACTGATAATATTTCAGTTTATATCTGAAATTACTGTAACTACTAATTGAGCAACTTCTGTGTAGATCAGAGTTTATAAACTGGTGATACTGATAAGTTGCGTTATTCAGAATGGATAAATTTAAAATTTCTATCATTAATAAGCTGTCTTTAGAAAGTAAAATAATATTTAAATAGTTTAATACCTTATGATAGTATCTAATAAAATTTTTATTGAGCTAATAAATTTAATATAGCAAAATTTTCATTCAAAAAATAAATATGGTCTTCTGAAGAGAAAATTTTATCTTAATGTTCAGCATTTTAAAAAAAAAAAAATGCAGTTTATAATTTTTCCATTGATATTTCTTGCAAAGTTTACAAAATATAATATTGTAGCTTTATGTGTGGTACATACTTAAATATCTGTCTTCTGGATTTCTGTCATTGAAGCACGCAAGACTTTATTAGCTATTTTATAGCAGGAAACAGGAAATATCAGCAGTACTTTAGCTCAAACTTCAAATCTTCAGACTGTCAGCTGGCTGGGCATCATAAAGCACTTACATCATAAAGGCTTTGCAGTAAGAAAGAGGAAAATTACTTATATTCTCTCTCACTTAAATGGAAACTGGGGAGGGAGGAGACCTAGTCTTCAAATGCAGGTGGTCAAGATAAGAATAGTCAAGATAAGATTTTATTCTTATTTCTATGGATTGACTTCTGCATTCATTCCTTCAAACCATGGTTTAATTTCTTATTGTACTGAGCCCTTCTTTTAGAAATCCTGATATATTGTAGTTTATTCTGTACAAAATTTGGAAGAAATTGATATATAATTTCTATGATTCTTTAAACTTGAAGGGCACTAGTAAATTTTTTTGTTTTCCTTACTGTTGAATGAAACTGAAGCTACTCAATTTAAAGAATGTAGCCTTAAATGAAGAACCAGGGTTTTTCATTTAATATTCTGAAAATTATCTTATCAAACTTAACATAAAATCAAAAAACAAAGCATAATGTTCTGAAAACTGTCTGACCAATTATTGTTTATAAAATTTAGAAAGAGAATGCAATTTGTATAAAGAGAGTAATATTTTAATTTAATCATCTGTTTTATGTTAAGAAATAGTTTAAGAATGCTATCATTTCTATTCATTATTGCTACTTTGATATATATTTATGTCGTGCTTAAACTAAGTTTGTAAATTAAGACTTAATTATTCCTCTCTTTCTATATAGATGAGATAATGGCAGTCCTGAAGCTTGATAATGTCACAGTTGCTCAAACAACATGGAAACAATGTAGTCAGCAAGCATGGGATCAACGGTTTAGTATTGAGCTTGACAGGGTAAATATACTTCTCTGTAACATTTTATCTGGCTAGAAATTATTTCATGAAGTTGCAGTAGTAATAATTTGGTAATAAATAGAATTCTTGTAATACTTTTTTTCTTGTCTATATGGAATGGCTCAAAATAACTAATATATTTTTAAAAATTAACACTATTATTTTTGGAAAATACTTCTATAAGGATACAGGACATTGATCAGAAATGAAATAGAAATCTCCTTGATTAAAGATAGCTTGGTTAAGAGCAATTAAAAACTCACCCTGGAATGCTTTATGCTGATTGTTCCAATTCACCACTGAATATTGCAGTTTGTGGTGATCATTAATATGTATCTTCACCAAACTAAATAAAATTATAATAACTAAATTTGCTAATTATTGTTCCATACATTGGTAAAAATGGTTTCATAGTATGCATTTGGTTTCATCATCAAATGTTTTTTTTTCCCTTCCATATTTGATACTATGATTAATGTTTTAAAATAAATTTATTCTATTTACCAATAATGAGTAATCTTATTTAAGCAATAAATTTGTTTTAGATAGTCTGAAATCATTTTAGAAATTAATAGATTTCTGTTTGTTTAATTAATTAGCAAATATTTATTTTATATTCGCCTTCCTTAAGTGCTCACAACCTTTTTCATGCTCATTGCATATCACAAGAATTTACTGCATTTCTCCTGAGTCTGTGGCATTGTCATAGAAGAAAAATTTGTATACTGTAGAGTGTCTGCATTACATCAATGTGAACACTGGTTATTTAAAGGCAGCAACTTCCTGGTAAAATTCTATATTTGTTAAATAGACCTTTTATCAATTTTCCATTGGCTTCAGAAATAATGAGCCTTGTAAGGCCCAATACTTCTTTGTAATCAAATTAAAAACTACCGTAATCTGCCAGCTAAGCTTCATTTTTGGCCTAACTTTTGCTCTTATTACTCCATATATCTGTTTTTGATATTATAAGTGCAAGCTAATTTGCAAGCTAATCCGTATTTTTAATATAATTGAAAATGGTGTTTACATGATTGTTTTAAATTATGTTTGTTACATTTATATGCATTTAATCTTTTTGGTAGTGTAACAACATTTTAAGTCTGTAAAGAAATTTTAGAATTTTGGTCAAACATCAAGCATTTTGTTTTTTCAAGCTTACAAAACCTAAGGCATTCCTGAGTGAGGATTTTTTAAGCATGAGAACCTTTTCATTTCTCACTGAATATTTATTTAGTAGTGTAACAATGCAAAGATGTTACAGTTCCCACGTACAGTGATTCCATCTGGCTTTTAAATTCTCAGAATTTTTTTTGAGCAGCTTAATGTAGGCATTGCATGTAACAGAAATTATACATAATTAGAAATTATACCAAAAGAATACTGGGGTAATATTTCATATGACATAAACTGTTTCATTTTTGAGCAACTTCCGATGGATTAGGCAATAACATATTTTTAATTGTCCATTCCTTGCAAAAGAATTAAACATATTCCAGTGTCTATCATCATTGTCATATTCATGGTGATGTTAAGAAGGTAAGGTGACAGTTGCCAAGGTATCATTAGGGTATTAAGAGAGTCCATCAATTTATATGCTGCATTACATGTGGTTAATCAGAAGAATTTTTATTTATTTTCATGAGCACTTTTAAGAGCTCTCTTGGAATCATTTTATATTATAAATGATGATGGGCGATTCAGTTATCCTTAAAGTGTTTACCAAAAATTTTCAATTTATTGGTTATTTTTCAAGGGAGATGTGTATTAGAGAATTTAGCACTTCTATATAGGATATTTTAGATAAATATGTAGGCTATTTAAGAAATCCTATATATATTATATAGGATATTTAAGAAAATAAAATTATTTGACAGATCTATAAGCCTTAATCATTCTAGGTATGTATTACCATAGACCTATGAAAAGTACAATTCAGAAAAAAAGTGTGAATCTTTGAATAGGGGGGGAATAAATAAATAAATAAAAAACTAGATCTAGTTTTAGTCCCTATTAACCATAGTATTATTTTTTGATTGGGGGGGGGAGGGTTGGTGGGTGAAGTGTAGGCTTGGAATTCATGAGTTAAAATATTTATGAGTTATTAACAGTCGTTTTCTTCACTTGATTGGTTATTTTTCAAGGAAGATATATATTAGAAATATAGCACTTCTATATAGGATATTCAAAGAGAATAAAAATTATTTGACAGATCTGTAATATTTTGCTATTTCATCTGTCCATAGCTAACTTAGTGATTTCTCCATTTGACATAAATGTCATCAATAATGATGACACTAATGATAGGGAAACCAGTCAATATCTATGAATAAGAACAATATCCAAGTTTTGCTCACAAAAATCTGCAGATTTCCTATTTAGATTGCATCTGAGGTAGTATTTGTATATTTCTTTTCTATTTGGAGCTTACATCAAGGAATGTGCCATGCTACCTTAAGAGTCGCCAATGTGATAATAGTGTATTGAAGACAGCTTGACTTAGATTTACTGCAAGATGTGTGGAAAAAACGCACTTTAAGAGCTCTCTTGGAATCATTTTATATTATAAATGATGATGGGCGATTCAGTTATCCTAAAGTGTTACCAAAAATTTTCAATTTATTGGTTATTTTTCAAGGGAGATGTGTATTAGAGAATTTCACTTCTATATAGGATATTTTAGATAAATATGTAGGCTATTAAGAAATCCTATTATATTATATAGGATATTTAAGAAAATAAAATTATTGACAGATCTATAAGCCTTAATCATTCTAGGTATGTATTACCATAGACCTATGAAAAGTACAATTCAGAAAAAAAGTGTGAATCTTTGAATAGGGGGGGGAATAAATAAATAAATAAAAAACTAGATTCTAGTTTTAGTCCCTATTAACCATAGTATTATTTTTTGATTGGGGGGGGGAGGGTTGGTGGTGAAGTGTAGGCTTGGAATTTTCATGAGTTAAAAATATTTATGAGTTATTAACAGTCGTTTTCTTCACTTGATTGGTTATTTTTCAAGGAAGATATATATTAGAAAATATAGCACTTCTATATAGGATATTTCAAAGAGAATAAAATTATTTGACAGATCTGTAATATTTTGCTATTTCATCTGTCCATAGCTAACTTAGTGATTTCTCCATTTGACATAAATGTCATCAATAATGATGACACTAATGATAGGGAAACCAGTCAATATCTATGAATAAGAACAATATCCAAGTTTTGCTCACAAAAATCTGCAGATTTCCTATTTAGATTGCATCTGAGGTAGTATTTGTATATTTCTTTTCTATTTGGAGCTTACATCAAGGAATGTGCCATGCTACCTTAAGAGTCGCCAATGTGATAATAGTGTATTGAAGACAGCTTGACTTAGATTTACTGCAAGATGTGTGGAAAAAACGTGATTACAATCTGTGCATGTGGCTGCATTATATGTAGTTCATATATAAAAATATGGATTTTTGCGATCTGAATAAAATTTTAATATTTTTCTTGTTTGTAGGTATTTAATTACTTTCATATAAATACTTTCTTTATATTAAAATCTGGAAAATATTACCATTCTTCTTAAATTACATTTCTTGTTGTTCATGTCATCTTAATAAAAATACTTGTTATTAAACTCAGACTAAACAATTCTAATTCTGCAAACATTCTATTATGTTTATTCAGTTTACTTAAACAAGAGAGTTTTATCTTTTGTTGTTTAGAAATTATACGTACACCAATAATGAGAATATATTTCTTCTTTTCTTTTTCATTCCTTGTTTATCCCTCTTTCTTCTAAATATTATGGGAAATAAACATGTTCTGTAGGGTGTCATCCTTTGGACTCATGGTACTTTTGTGTTTGATGGTTTGCTAACATGCTCTTAACCTACATAAGTAAGTATAGCCAGCAGAAGAAAGCCAAAATGCATAATAAAAGATTTCAGTAATGGTATTTTAAAAAATACTTTATTATTATGATATTTTGTGTCATAATATTCTGAAGTTGAATTACTTTCTACATTTGGCAGCATCTTATGAAAGCATATAGTTGCTGCCATTTGCAAAACCTGAAATGTCACACAATATAATATAAAACTATTTTAATCATTGGCAAAAATGCAGTGCTTAACAGAATAAGCTGGATATAAAAGTGCTGCCAGTTCCTTGATTGATAGTATAATTGATCAAAGTAATATCTATACCCTTCAAGTAACTGAAACAGGGTTCGTACGGTAATTAAAAGTCCTTAATTTTGGCCAAAATCAGTAGAAGGTCCTTAATTTTAATCATCTGAAATTTCTCTCTGTTTTTACGACTCCCATTTTGAGTGTGAATTAGCATTTTGGAGGAATATTTTTGGCAATTCACTGATGTATATGGTTATCTTTTGAATTGGTTCATGGGTTATAATTTGTTTCTATTTCTAACATAAATGATGGGATACTCGAGTTTCTAAGCAAGAAGTGAAACATAAGCATTTCAAAATTCATTTTTTCTAATAAAGAGCTCTTAAACAACTTTTCGCTTTTGGGTTGTGAATTCTTCTATTGAATGATTTTAAATTTGACAACTTGTCAACATTTTGGCGATTTTAAGGTAAGTTTCTATAGAAAATTTTTAATTCCGAGATCTGAGAATTTTTCTGCGATTTTTTTAAAACATCATAACATTGATAAATTTCATTAAAATAATGGTAATATATTAGAATTATATTTAAAAAATAACATTAAAATAAAACATTTTTATTTTTCCTGTCATATTATAGTTTCATTTTGGCAACTTATTATACAATATTTTAAATCTGAAAAACAAACAAGGTATATAGCTGTAAAGAATAATTTATGAAACAGCTCTTAGTAAAAGCAAAATTAGCTATGTAATTAATTAAAATGTCTTCTTTTTAATTTTTTCATAGTAAGCGTTTTTCCCATGTAATTGTCTCAGATTATTCAAAATTCTGAGAATATGCATCAGTTTTCTCTATAAAATTAATTTTACACTTTTTTCCTTCCCCCCTTTTTTTCAAAATATTTCTGGCTTTTTGCTGTTACAGAATTGGTTGGGATAATTTTTCTTTAGTATTTTTGACATTGCAGCATGGAAAGTTTAGAAGGATTTGAAGGCAAGGTTTATAGACCCACGATTCTAGAAGGTTCGAGAAATATGTGACAAAATGAAAAATGTCTCCATGGTATCAACATATCAACATGTAATGGATGCATTTTTCAGAAAGTTTGCGATGAATTTCTTACTTTTGGAGAACATCTGCAAGAACAATGGAAACATAATATTTGAATGTTTTACTCCTGATACTAGAATCTTTTTTCTTAACATATTTATCTTCCCTTTATTTTCTCTACTTTTCACTAGACACAAAAGTATGGAAAATATCAAAAATGCTTCTAATCATATCACACTTGGGCAGGCATTTATAGAAAGAGATTTTTTTTATTAATAAAAGAAATTGAAAACTGACAATTTAAAAAGATTCATCTAATGTGTCATAAATGCATCATACACAGGGCTGGTGCTATGCATTTTTTCCTACCTGATGCATCTCTGTGGTATCCTAAGTTCTGCTTGGCCTAGTGCCTTATCTAAATTCTGCTTCCAATTGCCTTGCTCTAAATTCTAAAAGTTTTGCCATTTCCTAGATTTTGTTGTTCTGTGTGTAACTAAATTTCTAAAATTTCTGCCGCACCGGCTCTGTAACTGGCCCTTTACCATATATATTTCATATTTCCTTCTGAATGTTTCATATTACAAAAGAAATAAAATTAGCAGCACTTTTCCATTGTACATTCCTAAATGCATTTAGTGTTTTTTAGAATAACAGAAATCCTTAATTGAAATTCCGAAAATTCTAAAATTAAAAGGAAACACGTGTTGAAGAAAGAAACCGAAATACATAAAGAGAAAGAAAATCATTCTTCAAAGATATGTGCAGTTATTAGTATGTAAATTACCCAATTGTTTATCATTTCAGCCTTTACTATAATTTCCCACTTCTGTTTCCTCATATGATAGAGTTACTGAGCCAGATTAAATTAAAATTAAATTGTATTATCTTTGACCACTAATCCACATTTTTAGTTTGAATTTGACTGTTCTTGTTTAATTACGTCACCGTGAGCTGTAATTGACTTTGTTAGCATCAGAACATGCCTTTATGTTCTAAGTTCTTTGTCTGATATTCTAGTTACTTTCAGATACAGTGATAATTTGCTTCACATCTATTGGGGAGGGGGACTATTTAACTTTTACCAGATCAAGTAAACCTCATAGGTACATTGTGGAAAGGTTGAAAAGTTAGGAGATAAAGCACACAGAAACTAGCGAGAACATTGTTTTGTATATTGAGACAAATTTCTAATTATTGTTAGAAATGATTGATAATTAAAGAGAAGAAAATCGATATAAACTAGCCAAAATGTTTGGGAAGGCTTGTAGAGACATTAGGTATTTTTGAAAGCAGGAAAGATAAAAAATTAACAACGCCTTCGCCGGGAATCGAACTGCGGACCTCTGGAATACCGCTAACAGTGTGCAAACCACTACTCCACGAAGGGTCGCCAAGAAGGTGGGAGAAATACCTTTTATACTCCCTCTTTTAAACGGCGACTGGGATTTTTAGGGAATCCAATCGCCAAATCCTTTGTGTGGAGAACCCATCAAGTAACCATCACCCATCAAATAACCATCAACACCATCAAGTAAAACTTATTCTTTGCAACTGCTGAGACTTATATATAAAACAACTTATCACCGCTGGCGCTTATTGGAACCTTAAAGTATATTAACTGGGTTACAACCCCTGGAACTCTACACAAAGCTATGACATTAACTGGATTAAGCAGAGCTTGACTAACTTCAACACTTGCCAACTGTACCTACATCAGACCTTTCAGGTTTGTTCCAATCAGCAAGTCTCTCTATAGACAAGCAACAGAGGGACAACATTCAGTCTTTTGTTATGAATCATGCTGATTATGATCTCACTTCTCATTTTAACCTATGCCATTTGACATAAAATCTCCCTACTATTTGCTAAACCTCTAGACTGACCAATTATGTGACAAAATTAGACATAAATAAATAAATAAAAAAGCATAAAGCTAACTATTAGTAAAACATATATGTCACTTATCTTTTTTTAAATATGTCCAACTATTATAAGTGTAAAATATTTAATGCTACGTGATAAACTGCATGAAATGTATTTTATTCTCAAACTTATTAATAATTATGTTAGTTAATTCATGTTTAGTAATAATGCATACTACTTAGGGATCTATTTTATTTTTAGGATGGTATTACAAAAGTGAAATTCAGGCATAGAATAATATTTTTAATTGAATTTATTCAGCTCCCATTTGCTCATAGGTCCTTAATTTTTTTCATTAATGGTCCTTAAAAGTACTTAATTTCCGTGTGCAGAAATGTGTACGAACCCTGTGAAAGAAGAGAGATTTTTTTCATTTAAATAATGTGAAAGAATTAGAAAGCTGTTTTTGATGGTGTAAATATTCATGTATGTTAATTTTTATTATCACACAAATGAAGTATTTTTTTAAATTTGCATATTATTTTGTGTGGTTGCACTAATTTGTCAACCCATAGTGGTAGGATGATCTCATTAGTAATGAGATATTTAAATTATCTTTTTTCATTATATTGATGATATATTATATTTCATTATATTATATTTATTCAATTTTAAACTGCTGAAATGTTACAAAAATTGAAGGGCTTGCAGCAAGAAGGGCCCAGCTCTACTTTTTTTAATTTTCGAAAAATTAAAAAACTTTCAAAAAATTATGTTTTAACTTATTTCTAAACTTTTTTCCTCATTAAAAGTGCTAGTAAAAATGAGTTTTTATGGCTACTGTAATGGCTTTTTGTGCCAATGCAAGGAATGATTTCTTTAAAACAAAAAAGACCCATGAATACAAAATCTAGCAAAGTGGAGCTGTTCTCTTCTTGCTGTAAGCCTTTCAATTATCTTGAGAGATTTAGAAACATGTAAAAATAATGCTTTTATAAAATCTGCAAAAAATATAATAAGAATGGTACTTAATATGAATGTTAAGATTCAGTACGATAAAATTAAATAAGGAACTAAAAAATGAACAGGGCTTTTTGAAGATTAAAATGATTTAATACAACAGACATGCTACTATCTATTTATTACTAATAATATACCTTTGTTTAAGGGGGGGTGCCAAATCATTCTTGGTTTAAAGGAGAGTGGAAGACTCAATTTTGTAACTTGTAAAATATCTAGGTTTTTTTAATGTTTTTGAATGTTAAAATTTTAAAAAGACAGTTGTGCAGTGGTTTAAAAAAATCAACAAAAATTGGTAAATTGCATTAGAGATTCGAAATAAATTTGATTTGGAAGATCCCCTTCCCCTAAAAATTGCTTTGAATTGCACGCTTTTATTGTTCAGATAACTTGCACCAAGTTTCATACCTCTGGGTCTCTCTGTCTGTGCTGTATTGACACATATTCGCGTACTGACTAACTCTGTCTATTATTATAGATGTAACTGTGATTATTTATGTTTCCTTTCCCCTTTTTTTAATTTGGCAGTATTATATATTTTGAGTTTTGGACTGGTTTGTGTTTTGCTAGGAATAGAGTCTAGATATTCAGATTATCAGACTCATGTACTGAGTACAAAAGTGTATGGACAGAATGGTCTTTAATTGCTCAAGTCCTTCTCAATCACTTAAAAAAGCAACAAGGAGTGAGGTGATCCATAGTTGGCTGAATCAGTTGATTATGAGTTATTGTTCACCAGTTTTAGTTACGACACTTCTGTAACAATATGAAAAGTTAAAATGTAAGGCATATAGAAAAATTCATTATGCTTTTGCTGGGAATTGAACTGGTCTTCAGTTGATTGGACTAACATGCTGATCACTGCACTGCTAAAAAGTACGTAGGAGAAATGTTTTTAATTGTTTACAAAATCAGACATTTAAATATGAAATCTTCATTGTAGTTTTAAATATTGAACTTCTAATGACTAAATCGTGGTTGAAAATGAAGATTATAATTTTCCAGGAAAAGAAAAGGACAATTTTTCAGAGTAGTGATATGTATACTTTTGTATTCTATGTTGCTTATCGTTCTGATAGTTGTCAGTTTTAGAACTATATATTTTTGAAATCTTAATTTGTCTGCAATGCATTTAGAAACTAAGAATTCGCATAAAAAAATTCTATAACATTTATATAAGAATGAGCCTTCATTAAATGAATAGTTTTATTTATGCATAGTTTCAATTTCATTTAGTCAAGAGAATTGGAAATTCAAGTTTACTGGCGAGACTGGCGTTCTATGTGTGCTGTAAAATTTCTACGTTTAGAAGAATTTATTGATGACAATCGTCATGGTATAGCTCTTCATATGGAACCACAAGGACTTCTGTTCGCAGAAGTAAGTTTTCTGCATATTTATAGTAGCTTATCCTTTTATATTTTGGACTTTGAGAGATTGAGAACTATAACTCTATGATGCTTTTAAATAGGTTAAGTTCTTAAATCCTATGATCTCAAGAAAACCCAGACTACAGCGGCAGAGGAAATTATTTAGGCACAAAGGTGATTCTTGTTTTTGATTTTTTAATTGTTTATTCATTTTTCCCCTCTTTCTGTCTTTTTTCTTTTCATCGAAAAATTATTCATTTTAATAGTTTAAAAACCACTGATCAAATTTTTAATTGAATTATGAATTAACTTTATTACAGTTTACTCAGGAATTCAAGCTTATTTATTGTGTTATGATACATAAATACATTAAAATGTGTTTTGATGAAACACTAAGTGCTTTTTTATAAATATCGAGGAAAACTATTTAGTATGAGTGGTATTGTAAATCTATGCCAATTGTTGCTTATTTGTTTGGGGGCTAATTATTGTGTCTTTCATTTCATTTTCAGAATCTGAATTTTCAGATTAAGAATTTTTGTTAGATTGAAATATACATGTACAGCATACCTGCCAACTTTTACGAATTTTTCGTAATTTTTACGAAAATGCATTTGTCTTTACGATTTTATGATCGTAAACCATTTTTTACGATTTTTTTCCTTTTTTAAGAATTTTTAGTGATTTTTGTCGGAAATTTTAGAATTTTTCGCGAATTCAGCGATTTTGCCAATTGCATCGTGTTTTACCGCCAACTACCGACTACTTCGAATCCAGTAGACCTGCGGTTTCTCCCAACTCGCCGCTTAACCAGCCAATCCAATGCACTGAACTTGTTTCTCCCACTCTTTTCTTTGTGGGCGCCAGATTATTTTTTTTCGCGTTTCGCTTCAGCAGCAAGGGAATTACTCAGCGAACGTGGATTGTAGCATTTTTTTTTTTTTTTTTTTTTTTTTTGTTTGTTTGTTTGTCGTTTGTGCGTGCTACGAATTTTCTTAATACGTCGTTGTTACAAAATGAGTTCAAAAAAACCGTATTCTCAATATTTTCGGCCTGCCTACAAAGCCGAATTTCCAACAATTAAAGAATCCTTCAAAGGAAATAACTATGCATTTTGCAACGTGTGCGTGTGTGACTTCATAATAAGTCACGGTGGAAGAAGCGACATTGTGAAGCATGTTAAGTCTAAAAAGCATGAAGTTAATGCTTCGGCTTCGACAATGTCAAAGAAAGTGGATGATTTTTTTTCAAATTCGGCTACGAATTCGGATGCCGATGTCATTTTGGCAGAGTGTTTGTTTACTGCATTCGTCATCGAACACAACGTGCCGCTAAGCGCTGCCGATCACGCCGGTCAACTTTTCAGACGGATGTTTCCCGACTCCAAGATTGCTCAGAAATATGCTTGTGCTCGCACGAAAACATCTTCTATTGTGAACGAAATTGCTTGCGATGCACAAAGTAAAACGATAGCTGCACTCCAGAATTCAACATTTTCAGTGTCAATCGATGGCAGATGGCAAAATCTCCCCTGCTTATCCAAATTCTTAATGATCTTTTGAAAGAACTTTATACTAAGTTTGTAAAACCGTCCGTTGTGAAAAACAGTGTGTTGATTCGTGTTGCCTATAATAGTTTGGCAAATCAAAAGGATGACAATGATCTTATAATTGGAAATCAAACCAAGGAACTTGTAAATTCTTTGAAAGACCATGAGAAAAAAGAATTTTTTCAATGTGTTAGAAAGTACTTTTCCTCAGCCTGTGAGTACATTGTAAGGAAGTTTCCTTTGCAAAATGAAGTTCTTTTAAATGCTAAAGTGGCAAATTTGAAACAAATTGAAAATTCATCTTTTGAAAAGATTCGTTTTTTTATTGATAAATTTCCATTTTTGTTAACAATTAAAGAAAATGAATGCCATAATGATGCTTTAGATGAACTACAGAACCAATTTTCTGCTGCACAGTTTGAAGACTTTGCCAGTTCTGGAGAAGATAGACTTGATGTCCTTGTTGGTATTTTAAAAAGAATAAAAATAGCTGATGGAACACCAAAATATGATAGACTAGCAAGAGTTTTATGTGCTATTCTTGTAATTCCACACAGTAATGCTGAGTGCGAGAGAGTCTTCAGTGTTGTGAAGAAAAACAAAACTATGTTTTGTTCTTCAATTTCACCAAAAACCCTAGAAAACATTTTAATTGCTAAATGTTATGAGGAAACTAATTGTTATGACAGGAAATTTTCCAAAGAATTTTTGGCTAAAGCCAAAAAATGCACTCTAAATTCATTGAAATAATTTTTTTGTGTAACATTAAGTTCTTGTTTTATGTTTCCTAATAAATTTTTTAGTTACTACTTAATTGAGATTTACTAATGTAAGTACAATTTTCTTTTTTTTTATTTGTATAAATTGTTATTTTTTTAATATCAAAGCATGATATTAATTCTTCGTGTTCTTCTGAATTTTGGAGAAATCTTCTGAATTTGGGGGAGAAAACTTCTGAATTTTTATCTTTAGAGGTTGGCAGGTATGATGTACAGTCAATTATTTTGTTTTTATTTCGTAACTTAGAAGATTTAAATTTTGATTGATTGTATTTAACATTTAAAGCATATCTGCCAATTTTTTATCAATTTTAGGGGATGTTTTGCAAAAATGTTTCTAGTGATACACTCTTATACGCAAAATAGGTTTTTGACACATTGCCTTTTTTTTTTTTTTTTTTTTTTTTTGTAAAATATCAAAAATTGTGTCAGTTCGTCACCAAATTTGTATTTTTTATGTTCTTACAGCAACATTCAGACATTCAGGCATATGTAGCAGACATTCAGATTACTGTCCGAATTCATCCTCAAAAGCATGTTCTTCCTTTTCTGAATATGAATATTTTTGTGACCTTTTGCTAAGTTTGGTGACTTATAAATGCTTTGAAAATGATCATTATTTTCGCTTCCACAATTGAAAAGGATTCAGTGTTTAACTTTTGAAACTATAGTACTTCAGATTTATTCTTTTTATGCCATTTTTCGTCCTCTTGCTCTGTCCATTTTTCGTAATTATCGGGTTTTCCTGAATACAATTGTTTCACACATTCAGACATGTATCAATTTTGTCTGCATATTCACTTTACTTTTATTTCCCAGAATTTTTTTCAAGTTCCAATTTTTATTCTCACAAAATTGGCAGGTGTGATTATGTATAGCATGTTAAATGACAAATTTAAGCTGTGTAGCACTTTTATACAGTACAAAGTCCGTAATCCGTGCACCTCGGGACTTCGGCGATTCCGGATTAGGGGTTTTTCCTTATATAAAGTTTCCGTAGTGAGCTTTGCTAGGTCATGAGAAGATAGGTCTGCATATATTTTTAAAATTGTTTGCCTGGGTGACATAAATAGTTTACCATATACATGCTGATTATTGAAGGGCACCAATTTAGTTTTTGCACAAATGGCAATTAAATGAAGGTGCATTTCACTTTGAATACGGTATAAAGGGTGAAATCTGAATATCTATTATCTGTAGTAATCTAATATTAAAATTTCTGAGCCAGCAACCCTCCTCTACAAAAAAAAAAAGAGTCTTTTGCCCCCTTCCCAAATACAAAGTCCAGCAATTGAGAATGCAGTACTTGGGGGGGGGGAATGCATATGTGCATGAAAGAACTTTTTCTCCCTATTAACCAAGATGTCACCCAAGACATATTTGTTTGAGTTGGGATGTTGCTTATACTGCTCTTTTTTTTTTTTTTTTTGGAAGGGCACCAGGAAAGAGTGAAAGAATTAAATTCAAAAAACTTCAGTTAACATAGCAAATTTCGCTGTTCCTTACATTCTTAAATTGATCTTGCTTGCTATTTTTTTGCAGCCTATTATCTTATCAAAATTAAAGTCTGAATTTTTGATTATGTGGTAGAGTTTCTAAATGTAGAACTATAGCAGGATCTGCAAAACTAAAGCATATTTGGTACTTGCTTTTCTATAACAGTGTTGGCGCAGTTTGATGCAAAAATGTGATTCAAAATTAAGTACAACAGCTTTATTTTGGCCTAGATTTTAAACTCTACAGAAGGTAAAATTTAAATTTTACCTTCTAATTATCTAGATTTATTTTCTAGAATTTGCAAATAAATCTAGATAATTAATAATAAATGATGATTATAGGACAGAAGTCTTTCACTGTAATGACCATGCTGAATTGCTTTGACCGGGGGGGGGGGAGTAAAATTTCATGATTAATAAAATTTGCAAGAAAATACCAAATGTAGATGATATTGCTGGAATTCTCAATGGGATGACAGTGCTCTAATTGCCAATCAATTAGTGAATGACGTAGTATGTCTTTAAATCCAGAAAATAACACTACCCATTGTGAAAATAGAAGAAGGAAGTTGTTAAAATGAAAAGATTTCAGTTGATTATTTAATGAAAATTCTTAACATGGCAATTACAAGACCTGAACAGTGGAGCTTTGTAGCTGAACAAGAAATTACACCTCTCTGTAAAATTAAAGAGAAAGTATTAAATAATAAAGTAAGAGTTAATTAAACAACTTATACAGTCAAAAGTCTTTAATACGGACTCGCCGGGACTTTGGCGATTCTGGATTATCGGTTTTTCCGGATTATAGATCATCAGTTTAAATCTGGTAAGATGGCATGCAGAAATTATAAAATTAAAAATATGAAACTGTAATTTATGAAATAAAGAGAAATTATGATCTAAAGGTTATCAAAATTTACAAAAAAAAAAAAAAAAAAGCTGATTATTTATTTGTTAACTTCATTAAACATTTCTTTCAATGCGCGCATGCATAAAGCATACATTACACATAGTCGAAATTAAAAAATTTGCAACCAGAAAACTATTTGATGTGTATTTGTGATATTTATAATGACGAGGAATTCGATTTAAACCATATCAAAGACGGAGTACATCGAGATGAAATACTACATTTAGTAAGGAATTATAAGCTGAATAAAATAAAAACATCTGCCCTGAGGATAAGGATAGTGCTCACAGATCAACTTCCAGTTCATTGCGCGCCACAACGTCTCCCCCCCCCCCTGCAGAGCAGCGTGAAATTGATAAACAGATTTCGAAATGGTTAGATAAACAAAGGGTATGCTTTTTTTCATTTTTTGCAGCAATTCCACTTTTTGTTTGATGGACATCGAAACATGTTTCGCTTTGTAGATCCTTTGGCAGCTCCAGAATCGAAACTTCTTTTTGACATAATCGAAAGTTCAAGCTTACTTTTATAAAATTGCTCTAACAGTCTGCAAAAAATAATAAGCCAGATCCAATTTGAAGATTAAGGAACAATGCATCTCTGCAACATTAACTGAAGTAGATAATTAGGTAATTTTAGCTTAGCTTATACCGTCTGTTACACATTAAACGCGCATGTGTAAAGGTATTATGCGCATTTCTATGCATGCGTAACCGCATTTTGTGTTTACGCATGTGCAGAAAGTTCTTAGCTTTGAGGTCCGGATTAACGACTTTTGACTGTATTAAACCTTTATGTTGCCTTAAGATCATAAATGTTTCATTATTTCATAAACAACCCTTCATATTTTTGTGTGATTTCTGCATACAATCTGATTAGATTAAAACAGATGATCTAAAATCTAGCTTTTGGACTAATATTCTAGAGTAATGTAATTTTGATTATATTCTATGTAAGTATTATAGTTGGTTTTGTGTTGATATCAGCAGTGAGAATCATTTATATTTATGGGTAGTTGTATATTCTAAAATAATATTTCTTGAATTTTTTTATGGTGTTTAAGTAAAGATATTTGAGATATGTATCCAAAATTTCATGTACTAAGATTAATAAGGGGTATTAAAAGGTAAAGAATAATCTTTTAAAAATAACTTAAAGGCTCATATTAAAAATTTAATAAAAATGTTAATAAATCACCTTTGAAATATTTTATAATATGTGAGAAATGAATAACAGTGCATGCATTCATTGATGAAAACCTTGCTTTCTTATTTATACGAAATTTAGTTTCAACTCTATATAAAATCTAGTTGTTTTAAGAATAAGCCAGATACTGGGTGATGTATGAATAAGATTTATTTTAGTTGACAATTGTATGTAGAATCACCTGGTAATTAGTAGAATGCACAGATTGATTTATCGTGAAATATGTTATTTAACAAATTTTAAAAAAATATTGTGAAATATTTTTTGTTGATAATTTACATAATTATTCAATGCTGATAATGTATTATATCCTTTTTCTTTTATTTAGGTAAAAATTTCTTACGTCCTGGTCAAATGAATATCAATGTAGCAACGTGGGGACGTCTTATGAAGCGAGCAATGCCTCAAGCTTGCTCTGAACAATCTGCAACTATAAGTCCTCCATCTTGCTTATTAGCACCAGGTATGAATTTCTGAAAATTTTTTTGAAGTATTCTTTAATTAGACATGCTTTTCTTTGATATATAATTTCATGTTGAGTTAGAAAACTGCTATTTCTACTATTTTTAATTAATTTATTTTATACTATTTAATTAGAGTTACAATATTGTATCAGCATTGTTTAATATATATATGTTAAATTATGTGTTTATAAAATATTCTAACTATACAATATTTGTGAACAGTATATAAATTCATATGTAAGTGTAATTTATTTTTTCTTTCTTTTTAGTCTCTAACAAGAATCGTTCCTTAGACAGCATTGTTACAAAGCTAGATTTTGATGCAACTCTTGGAGATGATCAAGTAGATAAAGAAGATAGTCGCAGGCTATCTAATACTGAACAAAATGCAGCTGTTTTAGAACTTGATATAAAAGTATGTTTAAACTATATCTGCTTACTTTAATAATATTTTATTGGTGGAGGTAGAAACAGTTATCTAATTAGAAGATTTGATACTTCAATATTATCATGTTGATTGGGAAACTGTTTCCAAGTAGTTTAATTTAGTGTCAGTTATGGATTAGTGTGATGCCATATTATCTGCACTTTCATTTGATGTAACTACTATTGATTCTTGGTAAGCTACCTTCTGTTTTTATGAGAGAGAGGGAAAAACATTATTGGTGTATTTTTCCCTTGCATTTTGAAAGAAAAAAAAATTGAGTAGAGGGCTATAGAATTACATTTGTGACTGCACTCAATTTCATTTGCAGCTGATGTAGAGAATTAACATCTGAATGTGAAACGAACAGCGTAATATGGTTGACAAAACAGTAATAGGGTAAAATAATCATCTGTAGGAAATTTGTACACTTAGCACTCTAAACAAAGCTGGTAAATTTGGATGGCTTAATGAAATAGTAATAATTTACATAATTATTTAAGCCTTTTTATGAAGTGTAAAAATCAAATTAGTCAAATACTTCTGCAGCAGTGGCTATTTGATGGATTTTGCAGAGAAACTGACATATATTTTATTGCAAGAGTTGCAGATAGAAGTGCAGGTCAAAATTTCATGGAAACAAGCATGACAGTTTTGCGGAATATCTGCCAACTGTCATGGTTTGATCATAGCTGACTTTTTAGTCAGTTGAATAGTGCATAAGTACTGAAGATTGATCTTAGGTAAATATTCTGTATATTACTAGATTGTAAAGATGTAATAAATAAATGTGAACGAAACAACCTTACAAGAATTCCGAGCATAAGTTTTACAGAATTTTTATTTCGTTTTCTAAAATAATTTAACAAGAAGAAGTTTAGTATTTTGGAAGAAAAGTGTGTGGGGTTCCACCCTTTTATCTAACAATTAAATGTGGAGGAACCTAGTGAACAGCTAAGCAAATAATCGCTTAAGTTCAGTAACAGTAACGTAAGACTCGAGAAGTGTCAATTACCCTTTATTGCTCAAAATGAGAATGAACAGTTGGCCCCTTTCTCAGGGCATACAGCAAAGCTTCCACTTGGGCTTGAACTCAAAATAATAAGAAATAAGAACTTAACTAATGCTTAACTAAAGAGATATAACTGGAGCTATCACAATTCTAAGTAGTTGGCCCCTAAATATCGAATTAACTAGCGAAGCCTATCAGTGGCTTGTAATATGTCTGAGCGTAGTAACAGCATAGAGAGAAAAGGCCAAAAAGCAAACATGCACTAGTATGAACTTTTGAGGCTCTCTCTCGAAGTCAGTGAAACTTCGACTTAAATACTACTCTTACTCATTTGCATTAAACATGATTCTAAAAACACATTCAGGTAGGAAATTTAAGCCAAAATTAGAAGAGATAGGAAAGGAACTTTAACTTCAAATAACTGTTAAAAACTTAGGATAAACCTTACACTTTCCCCACCAAAATTTAACTACTTGTAGAATAAGATCTCAGAATGAGCTTGTTTAAGATTGTAATATCTACAAAACTTCTTAAACTTCAGTGTTATATTTCTAAACTCTGCTTTCTTAAATCATTCTCATCATTAATTTTTTTTCTGTTAGGGCCAACTAAACAAAAAAATCTAAGGCTAGACTTAAAACTAAGAAAAATAATTTTTACAAATTTACAATCTCATTTGGTACAATCATTTGCTTCATCTTGACTTTCAGTACGCTATCTGCATTGGCCCTTCCAAATTATCTTAGAAGGAACAGTATTAGTCATGTTTTTTATGAAAAATTTCCATTTTCCTTACAAATACATTTTACTGCAATTCTTTGGCCCTTAAACAGCTTTCATTCACACATATTTTTAACTGTTCCCCTCATGATCTCCAGAGACTTGTTCTGAATGAACTGAGCATGTCGGTGTTGTGTAAACACTACCAACTAATCATCATGTACGATGTGTTAGAATTTGACATGCAAGACCTCTAAAAACTCTCTAAATACAAAACTGCACCTAATGTGCTAAAGAGAGCTTGATTTAAACTTTTAAGTGTTGGCTGGAGAACCTAACTTTTAACACATTCATTCTGTACTTTCTTTCCAATCGTTCATTTATACAAGGTTTTTGTATTTTGACCAAAGCTTACATTTACACAAGTTTAACTTTGAGATATTTTTACAACTGACATTTAAAAATTTTTACTTTCAATACAACAATTTTTCACCATATAACATTTTAAAATTCATTTTACATTATCAGTTATAGTTGCTATACACAATTTACAATCTTCTCCTAAAATCTTAAGTTAACAATTTTCAATATTATTTAACGTCTTTCCAACTAAAAGATATTTATAAACTAATTTTTCGCCAACTTGCGAATTAAAAAATTCTTACTTTTAATAGCATTTAGCAACTTTAAACAACATCATATAAATTGAACCTTCAATGCAAAATAAGCGAACAAAGAAAATTTTCACTTAACTTTTTGTTTTTAAACTTCTTTTCTCAGGTGTCAGAATAGTTCCTACATATGATATCTTATAGTTTGGATTTTAATTCTTCTGCTTGGGCGGCTGGTACTTTCTGTTGAAACATCTTTTCATTTCATTCTTGTGTTGATGAAACACGCTGATTTCCTGGTCAGTTGAGGGATCTGGAACTCAGCTCTTCTTTTGACCTTCTGGGGGCCACTTTGTTCCTGAGGATCCTTAAACCTCCTCTTGGATTTTCTGGCTTGCTGGAACGACACAGCTACCACATTGACTGTCCTTTTTCCTTTGATGATTCTTCACTCTAAACCTGATCTGACCTCCCTTGGGGTGGTTGTTGCCCACTAATAAAGACTATCTGGCGAAGCCTCTGTCGTCATCCGGATTCTGTAGTGGTGCCATCCGTTGTTCCCTTCCTTTTCTCCACTAGTACTGGAGTTCGGTGTAGGGGAACTTTCCTTACTGGCCTTTCCGTGGTTTTCCTTTTTCTCACTGACCCTGGACCTTGTGGTGACTGCATGCGTTTAGCCGGCCTTTCTTCCATACTTTTAGCCTGTTTCATCTTCTCTGTTCGGGGGACCAGTTCGCTGTGTGATTCACTGGAGTTCTTGGCATGATTCCACGATCCTGCAATAAATCTTTTAAAACTTTTAAGTCAGTGTGACTATAATGCGGTTTAATTTGGTCCATATTAGCAATTATTTGCTGGTCATTTGCAGCCTTTAAATAGACCTCCGCATGTTTAATCCTTTCAATGACATACGGCCCTTCAAACCTGAGTGCGAACTTTGCTACTCTGTTTCCCAGTGCAGTCGATAAAGAATGTTTAAATTTCAATATTACATCGGAATTTTCTAATCGCTTCATTTATTTTTTCGATGTCCTTTAATTTAAATTCTTCTTGCCTTTGCTGCACAAAAAAGAGTTTATATAAGTGAGTTAGAATTTTCCTTCCTATGAAGAGTTCTGTGGGATTCTTATGTGTAGTATCGTGCTTCGCTGTTCTCAAAAAAAAGCCCAATTCATTGATGCAGTCAACCCAACGGTCACGATAGTTTTTAACGTATCCCCAAATAATTTTAATAATATTCTAGTTTACTCGTTTTGCAATATTCAATTGTGGTCTATATGGTACCATTTTTAGATGATATATGGCAATTCCTGTGCAAAGAATTTTAAATAAGTGACTCGCAAATTGTTTCCCATTATCTGATATAACTTTTACTGAGGCCCCATATTTTAAAATATACTTGTTTAAAAATGAATCTGCTACTATTTTTCCTGATGCTCGTTTAAGGGGAATAATTTCCACCCACTTTGAAAAGTGATCAACAATAGTTGAAAGATATCTGTTTTTATTTAGTTGTGTTCTAGAGTAAGGTCCCTGAGTAAATCAGTGTCAAACAGTTAATGTGGAAAAGTGGTTTTTATGTTACTTAAGTACCCAGCCAAGTTGTAATTAACATCATTAATTAATTGGCACAAGTGACATGACCTGATATATGCTGTTACCACCCTCGGTAACTGCAGAAAATAAACTACTTCGTGGACCACTGTTTTACTGACATCTAAAATGGCCCAAAATGGGTGAATCATGCAACTTCCCTAAAATATTTAAGTGCAAAGTCGCTGGGATCACTGACCGGTATTCTTGATTATCGTTAGTTATTTTTGTATAAAATAGCAATTTATTAATGATTTTATAATGGGCCGCCCTATTGCGAATAGCCGTTATGTCCACATGTTCAAAATGTTCCGGGTCTTCAGGATATGCAAATATATCCTTGAATTCAGGTTCTGTCTTTAATTCCAAAATTATTGTTTCCCATGGCACTCAATTACTTTGAAAATTAGCATCACACAGGTGATTGTGTTTCCCTCTTCGTCAGTCTTAATTTTTGATAGGGCATCTGCAACTATGTTTTCCTTCCCTGGTGTATGTTTTATAATTAAGTTAAACTCTTGTAGTTTTAACGTCCAATGTATAAGCCGGAGTGAAAGATTTTTCCCCGAATACAAACAACCAACTGCTGCATGGTCTATGCGGTGACCAGAAAAATGCCCACAGGAAAAAAGCCCACAGGAAAAATGCTTACAGGTATAAATGCTCACAGGAAAAAAGCCCACACAGAAATGTGCCCACATAGAAAAAAGCTCACATGGAAAAATGCTCACTTAGAAATATGCTCACATGGAAAAATGCTCACTTAGAAATATGCTCACATGGAAATAAGCCCACTGATAAATAAAATATATAGAAATATTCTTACATTAATCAATCAATAATTAACCAATTTAAACATCGTACACCTACTTGAATTTTTCAAAAGAAAATTATTTAAATTACCAAAACATCTATGGTATATATATATATATATAATTGTATAACTTGTGTAGATTTAGTTGCTATATAAGATTAAAAAGTGGACCGTTTTGAATCTGGAAAAAGAGATGAGGAAGGAAAAAATGAAACAGTATATACCAGCAAAAAAATTATTA